GTTAAGTAATTGGAGGTGGTCAGAAAGGAACTTATAATGAGTATCCTTTGTTGATGAATATCAATTAAAACTGACCTTAGGTCTAGGATTTCATGCTGATTACCTTTAATCACTTAAAAAAGGACAAATAACATATTAAATGAGATATTTACTAGTGTATGGAGTGTTTTAGATGATCTGAAATGATAATGAATTAGTGACAAAAACCAAAGAAATCCGAGCTGTAAAAGGTTTAAAATACAACTTTATTCACCAAAGTCAAAAATTAACAAGCGGTGGTCTAAAACAGATCAGTTCACCATTTAAATACTGAGAGAAAAAATTGTAATATAGTCGAAAAAAGTAAAACAAACTTTAAGAGCAAGCTGTTTGGTTGGTTCATTGACAGTTCCAGCTAAACAACAGTGACTAATTGCATTAACTACTACAGTTCGATTGGATTTCGCTTTGGGTTTCACAAATAAACGTGGCTGATTTAAACATTGAACGGGTACACCAGGACCGCTAGATGGAGATTCTAAAGCGCCGAGTCGATGTAATGCTGGAGAATTCAATAAAATAAAAAAGTATGTCCTTTTTTAAAAAAAGAAGTAGGTTTACGTGACTGACAATATTTATAAGAGGATTTTGTTTAGAATCATTGAATGTCGGACGATTAATAGATATATGGGTCAAACATCCACTGATTTTTGGAATTTTATTTTTCGTAATATAACAGAAACGAATTGTTTTTAGTAATTTAAGTGAAATAAAGGATTGGTTTTAGAGACAACGAATAACAAAACAAAGCTTGTGGTGAATTGTAGGGAAATTTCGGTAGGTGTTGTGTTCTCAGAGCTATAGATGGTTTATCTATTAACTGATATACTGAAAAAACCTATTCTAGAAATTAAATTTCCATTAGCAGTGAAGAGCTACAAAATATAGGAATACTTGAAAACTTTCATAAACCTAAGTGAATTCCACATTGCATGATTAATTAGGTTTGATTTCAGTAGCTTGAATTGGGTGAGTATAGTTCCCATTGGATATATCGGTAGTTTTCTAATAAACTGAATAAAGAAAAGCTAAGAGTATTATATAAATAATAACGAAAGAAGTAGCTCACATTGTTGAAAAAAAACGACTATTGTGCAGGCAATTATTAGGATCATGAGAATGACATAAATTTAGCCAATGTGAAAATGTCTACTTACAAGTAGTTCAACAAATATGAATAACTTTAGGAACAACTTTTATTGTGAACAACCAAGCGGTCATTTAACTTACATGACAAACTAATTCCAGAAGGAAGTGGATTACGACCAGCCAGATTATTAACAACAGACCTACCATTGACAGGACGATTATGAGTTACACGAGCTTTTGTCTCACGGAAAGAAGAGCTATCACAGTCAGGTTCAGTATTTGGTTCCACAGCTTCACCATCACCACTACCACGTGTAATGGCCGATGGATGTGGTTTAGATTTAGCAGAATTCAAACGAGAATTAGGTTTTGATGATGGAAAGTTGTCCAATGAAGCAGCGACTAATCCATTTCTGTCACGTTTAGGAGTAGCGGATAATCGTTTAGTTGAACTATGTTTAGGAACAGTTGAAGATAAATTAGCTTCAGATTTAGAAAGTGTTGATGAACCAGACCTTACAGGGTATGGATTATTACTATTATTAGTAGTGCGACAACTTGGTGATAAAGCAGCCTACAAAACAAAATCACAATACAATTTGTTTTAAGAGAAATAGATTTTTCGACATAAATCTACAAGTATATTGAAACAGGTTTACAGTAAAATTTGCTGCAATAGCGTAATGTTCAGTGCAAGAAGATTTTAAACCAATTTCTGTTGTTTATATAACAATTTAGACAAAATAATTTATGTTATTTCTGTTACATACTTATGTATTTATACTTAAATTTAGTTTTGTCAGTTAATAAAATTAGAAGTAGATTGTTATTGCCTTCATCTATTTCTGTTTACATTTTTCAGATAAATGGCACATAAAATCCGCAGTGATTGAATGATGAAAAAAGTCTCAGTTTGAATATTTTTAAAGCGTATAATAATGTCATTTATATAGTGAACCTAAACCTTTACATTGATTTTCGTGCGATAAGTATCAGTATGTATACTAAGTTAGTTTCTGAGAGTAGAATTAGTGTAATGTTACAATCTATTCAGAAAACCATCTAGGCAAAATGTAGTTTTATTGACTAACTTTTTATCAATTCAGTCTGAAGTTGATCAGTACTGATGGAAGGGGGGCACAAATAGTGACTAGATATGTGTAGCACATTAGTCACTGAAGGTTTATGTTGTCGAAACAACTAATTTATGACTTTCTATGTAAAACACTTTTGTTCATATTGTTAATGTGCAGTGGACAACTGCACAGTAATTGAAGACTAGTAGAACACTTCTCCTAGTCTTCTAGTTAGAGAATAAATGATCGTTTTGCGATAGTCTCACTAAAGACATATTATTAATCATACTAACTGAAGTTGATTGTATAATTGAAAATTTATAATCTAATAAAACTGAACTGATTCAATGTCTTTATTTATCAGGAAAATTCCATATTTAGTAATTTCATAATTAAAATCATTTAAATGATTGAGTCGATATTTATGTGTCCACTGTAAAAACAAAACTAAACATTGTTTCTTTAGAACAAAAGAAAACAACAAACAAACGAAAAATGAATTAAATTTTTCTCCCCTAAAAGTTTTTTTCATCAACTTAACTTATAAATTATTATTATTACTAATAAGAAAAATTAATGATTAGTTCTTGATTTACGGATGAAAATTTACCCACACCTGAAGAAAACCAATAATGAATATATATATCGAGACATTCAAACAATGATTCCTTGAATTCTAGCTTACAATAAGTTTATTCATTATCAAGATCATATAAAACACTGAAAATCAGAAATGTCATATATACATCCATAGTATATAAATGGGAGGTTGTGAAACGTAATGAATCTTTCTTTACCCCGGTAACAATAGTCAGTCAGTCAGTCAGTAATAACGTAGAACTTCGTACGTACGTACATCAGTTCGAGTTGCCACACCACATTAGCACAGAGATGCAGTGGTCGATTCAAATCCCGTAGTGATAGAGGTAATAAGAGTATAAGCAGTAATCGGAAAGATTAGGGTTTTAAGATATTATTCAAGAAGTACAATACAATCAAATAAATTTGGGAAGAGAAAAAGAAGAGACAATGAGAATTTAGGAAACTAGAATTTGGGAGAACACAAAAAGTGGATGCACCTGCGCCATTGCAAACGATTTTGAGCCATGTCATTCAAGGTCTCTAACCATCGATTGCTATCGTCTCGCGGATCCCAATCAGCTAGTCTACACCTACCGACATGACTCAGTCCACTTGTCAGTGACTTCATGAACTTGTGCCATGTTTTGATTTGGCTGCCCCTAGCTTTTTTCCAACCTACTCCTACATCAGAAATCATCGCACATCGGGGCAGTCGGTGGTTAGGCATACGTAACACGTGTCCCAGCCATCTCAACTGGTGAAGCTTCACTTCATCAATGGATTCGCCATCCTCATCTAGTACCCATTTCCTAACAACTGCGTTACTGACTCGATGGTCCTAGGATATACGAGAAATACTTCGAAGACACCTATGATCAAATACTAGTAACCTACGGATATTCCCTACTCTTACCAGCCATGTTTCACTGCCATAAAGTAGGACGGAACGAACTGCTGCACAGTAAACACGTCCTTTGGTTGATAGACGGATATCTCGCCTACACCATAAATGACGCAAGTTGGTAAAAGCTAGTCGAGCCTTCTGTATCCGTGCTGAGATTTCGTCACGAACCAGACTATAAGGGCTGATGAGACTTCAAATATAAGTGAAGCGATCGACACGCTCAATTACTCCACTCCCTATCACTAGTTCGGGTGTCAATGCAACCCAATCCTGAAGCAACATTTTGCATTTCGAGGGGGAGAATCGCATCCCAAACATGCTTGCATTGTTGCTTAGAGTGGTCAGAAGCCTCTGCATTTTGTCAGCGTCTTCGCCAAATAAAACTATGTCATCAGCATATTCTATGTCAACAAGTGAACTTCCCGGTAGAAGTTTAACCCCTGGAAATTTAGATGAGGAGAGTGTTATCTCTAAAAGTACGTCAATGACAAAGTTGAACAAGAATGGGGAGAGTGGACAGCCCTGATGAACACCACTTGAGGTAATCAATTCTGATGACAGTTCGCCATAAGCTCTCACTCTACCAGTTGTGTTCGAGTAGAGAGCCTTTATGAGGTTAATGTACTTCTTTGGTACTCCTTTCAGTAACAAACACTGCCATAGAACCTCACGATCTACAGAGTCAAATGCCGCCTTAAGGTCGAGAAATACTACCATTGTGGGAGGTCTGAATGTGTGTCTGTGTTCTAGAACCTGACGTAGTGTGAATATCTGATCTATACAACCACGTCCAGGTCGAAAACCAGCCTGATTTTCTCTAGTCTGCTCTTCACGAGCTTTGGTTAGGCGTCGAAGTATTATCGAAGCTAATATTTTAGACACTATATTAGTCAAACTGATTCCTCTGTGATTGTCACAAGAGGACTTTTGTCCTTTCTCATAGACTGGCCCAATCAGTGATTGAGACCAGTCAGATGGGATTACGTCCAGTTACGTATGCCTGAACACCGACTACCATGACGTGCAATGCTATCCGATATTGGAGATGGTTGGAAGAAAGTTAGGGGCGGCCAAACCAAAACGTGGCATCAGTGCTTGAAGACACTAACTTCTAGTCTGAGCCATGTTGGTAGATGCAGACTACTTGGTTGGGGTCCGCGTGACTTTCGTAACCAATGGTTGGAGACTCTTGGTGACATGGCTCAGAATCGATCACAATGGCGTCGGTGTATACACTCCCTGTCTTCCCTTAAACTAAGAGATTAAAATCACTTCATATCTTTCTTTCTACGAACCCATTCTTTCTTCTTGTACTATATCTCTATAAGCAATTTTTCTCTTATACATTACCACCTTTGACCTAACCACTGCTGTGAATCCGGTGTTCATTTTGTTGTGCTGATGCGGTATGGCAACCTGGACCGATGCACATATGTGCCTGGTCCTACGTTGTAGTTGACTGACTGGCCGATTACGTCCAGTTCCCAAGTTCTACCTAAGACCTCAGTTAATCTCACTGCTAATACTGGATCACCATCCTTAAAAATCTCAGGAGTAAACCTATCAGGGCCTGCTGCTCTCCCTCGCTTCAGATTTCCTATGGCTTTTTCAACTTCGTAAAGGGATGGAGGATCAACACTAACTTGCCATTCAGGTTGACTGGAGATCGTGGGAAACCGAAGTGTGGCTGAAGGCCAGTTGAACTGATCTCTAGTGTTCTGCCCATCGATCCAATCTCCTGGATTGAGAATGTATAATATGTCCATCTTTCTCTGAGAGTGTTTCGCTAACAGTCGGTTTCCTTAACAAGTCTGAACAATTGTCTGCTATTACCTATTGCCGCTTCCTTTTCCATCTCTCTTGCTTTCGCCAACCACCACTGTTCTCGATCATTGCGTAGACTTCTTGTCAGCTTGCGCTTACGCTGACTGCGCTCTTCATAATGTTCAGAGTCAGGTGGAATGGGTTTTCGAGTATCTATCAGTGCGATAGATGCTGCTGAGATCCAGTGTTTCTCCCTAACCTTACGGTTTACCGTACTAGCAGATATCACTGCTGTTTCCACAGCTTTTCGGATATCATTCCATGCTGCCTCGGGATGGGCATCACGTACATGGCTGCCTAACTGTTTTCCTAGTTGTTCCTGAAATATACTCTTAGCTTGACTATCATTAAGTAGAGCCCTAAGAGGTTTACTTGCAGCGTCTTTCCTACGTCCAGTAAGACGCAGACAGATACGCGCTCGTACGAGAGCACGATCTGAATCTAAGCATGTGCTCCAGAATGAGCGACAGTCTTCTATCGAGCCCCTCCATCGGTGGCTGATAGCGATGTGATCTATTTGGGTCCAACGTTGGGACGAATTAGGGGGTCGCCATGTTAAAAGATGTCTTTCCTTATGCTTAAAGTTAGTATTTGCAAGAAAGAGGCAGTTATCTGAGCATAGCTGCAACAGACGGTCGCCATTATCTGTTCTTTGAGCCACGATGCTATAAGATCCACCCAGGTGTCTTTCCCTTTCGCTTAGTTTACCTACTTTAGCATTAAAGTCACCAGCCACTATTACTACATCAGAACGCCTAGCTTTTAGGAGGAGGTCGGAGAGCTTTCTGTAAAACTCATTTTTTACATCATCTGAGCTGCAGTGAGTGGGAGAATAGGCAGAGACGACGAAGAGGCAACGACGAGTGACCCTATCCTCCCGAGTCCTTATTGTTCCGTTTAGTCGGATAGCGCACAAACGACTGTCTACTGGGATCCACTCTAAGAGAGCTAGTTCTGCCCTAGGACTCAATGCTATACCTACGCCGGCGAGTCCACGGGAAGCAGAATCTGGGCTTCCAGATACACGAAGTGTGAATCGAGTCGGTTCTTTATTTTAGCATGGTGAGGTCAGATGAATGACGCTACTCGGATCCTGTATGCGCGTTTCGGAGACGCAGCACACATCCATGGCGCGGGATTCTAAAGTCCTAGCTAAGGAAGCCTGTTGTCCTATTTGGCACAGTGTTCGGACGTTAAAAGCTCCTACATGTAGTTTAGAGCGTGGTTTCAGGAGACCAGGAATAACGTTCCGCGTACTCGAATCGTTTGCAGTAGGGGTGCGAGGTGAAAAAAGGACGTGAGAAGGGTTAGTCGGGAAGATAAGAGTGGTATTAAGAGGTGTAGGAAGGATTTGAATGTGACCAACTGGGTCTCGTGTGCTGCTACGGGTATGAGGGCTGATATCACTTCCCGGCTGCCCACACCGTGCAAGGGTATTTCTTGAGGAACCTGAAAAGGAATTCGGATTAATGTCGGCCTTAACGGCCTGGGAGCGTGACCGCAGAGCCCAAGGCACAACTGCTTGAGGCCGATCGCGCACGGCCTTTTCGTGGAAGGTTTTTAATGTGTTAGCTCCGTTCGTCAAAGGGCCTTACCGCCGGAGACGGAAATCCGTGAGGTAAGGTGAAGTGTGACATTTTTAGGGTCGACCTTTTCTAACCCCACCCCTCCTTGTAGGAAGGCAGCATCGCTGCAGATGCTGGTTGTCTGAAGGAAACACCTTACTGCTATCACACCTCTGTACAGTCAGCAATACGACTTCGCCCTTAGACCTTGAGTTGCTGCTTTTAGTCTTACCGTTCTCCAATCGACCTGCCTGGCATGGTAGAAACTACAGGAACATATATTCCAGCCAATATAGCTCGGTTGGGTCATCACGATAGGCAAGCCCGACCACCGCGTAAAGGTAGCAGCTTCGGTCGGTAACAATAACCCCCTTTTTATTCATTTATTTATTGCGTCTTTACTCCAACTCTTTTAAATCACATCATACATAACTGACTGATTTCAATTCATGTTTTCTTTATTACCATTAATCTATTTTCATGAGTTCTAATCACTATTTCAATGTTCCGGAACTTTCCCTATCAAACTCTATTTATTCGAGAAAAAATTTTATGACCTCATTAACTCTATCTGAATCTTCGCTACACCATGATACATTTATTCATCTTTCATCACCCTTTTATGTATAGTTATGTCAATATCTGTATAAACGTTGATTTTCAAATATTTTAGATCGTAAGCAGATGATGAGAACCTAACGAAATAAAATGAATTCATATTATTCTGCACCAATCTTTGTTCTTGCCCTCTCTAAGACAATAAAAGGAACTATGTGTATGAAAGCTTTTCTTTTTCTCTCTTAAAATGAGAAAAATTTAAATTATTTACATTGAGTTTAACTGAGCAGTTCATATAAACAGTTTCTCAAAGTAGACAAACAGCTAGAAAGTTTTAAGTAAACGAATAACTAAAGAAGTATATAAATTATTTTGTAATGCAGTTAAAATATTTCAAAAAAAATGTTTTAAATAAAACTTAACAAGAAATTGTTTAATGTACTCGGTTCCTAGTTATGCCTTTGAATAGATGCCCCCAAATGCCCTGGTATGGCCGAGAGTGAGGTGGGCCCGCCCTCCCTCTCGAAATACTCTCACACGGCCACGCGTATACAGCCTCTGCCAGGGAAGTCCGATTCACTGTCTTCTCGTGGCGGGGGTGTTGTTTACGAAAATGAGAGGAAGAAAAGCGAATGTCCGGCGCTTTAACCGGATACCAAACCAATGGTGCATATGGGCTCCAGTATCCTGAGGGAACAAATGGCGTATGAACCAATCGTTGGTCACCGGCTACCATGGGAATGCATCTCCTCACGATGCTCCACTGCCTTGTGGATCAGATCTTTAGGTCAAAGGCTCGGTGTGTGGCCCCCTAAGATAACCACCTGCATAGGTCTGGGCACCCGGGCAGTATCACAGCCCACACACACGCATAAATATGGTGTGGCGCATATATATTTGGTGCCCTCTTGTACCAATATTTATGTGTTGGGATAATAATAATAATAATTTGAATAGATGTTAGTGATACAATCCATTGACTGGAAAAAAAATAGGAGTGGCAATTTTGAAATCGAAGACAAATAGTTGAAAACCGAGTATTTTTAATATTTAACTACTTTACGAAATATAAAATATCACTTACTTCTTTCTTGGATAAATGTGCTTGTAGTACAGCTTCACGTCTTTCTTTCTCATTTAGTTTCCGTTCAAATTGTGCACGGTCAGCTGCCTCTTTCTCTTTACGGCCAGTAGTACGTAATGCCTCCAGTTGTTCAGCAACCATAGCTCTCTCTGTAGCTCGACGAGCTTCTAATCTATCCTTGGTACGCTGCATTCGCTATACAATGAAGTATATAATGTGGAATTGATAATTAATATAAGTAAAGACAAAACTGTGATATATATGTATATATATCATTTAGCAACGTGATTGTCATCATTGAGAAAAAGTATGTCTGCTAAAAAATCTCAAGTTAATGCGATGTCGTTCAAAACAGTGATTGGTTAACCACATGAATCATTTAATAAACTGTATCACACAAAAATAAGATAGAATTTTTGTGCGGAAAATCGACAGTTCATCTGATTGTTACAATACTTTATTTAGTGAATATAATTTAATAAACCAGTAAAAAGCTTTAAGTTACATTTATGTGAGAGCTGGTGATATAACCCGGCTGCCTAAACTAAGGTGGATGTGAAGTGGTGTTTGGAATCTTTACCTGATCATTTACAGTCATGTTTGGATTACCAAACCATTGTTTAGTTTATTTCATGTTAACTGGTAATGGAATCTAAAAAGAAAAATTTATCTTATTTCAGAGAGCTCATTAACAATATCTAAAGTTAGTGCAGGTCAAAGCAGAAACTGAAACGACTAGAAGTTCAGATACATAAGGCTTTCAGAAACCTGAGAGATGATTCTTCTCAAGGATTATTTATGTTAAAAGAGATAGATATAATCCAGAGACCGAAAGTTAGAACTAGAGAATAAATAATAAAATCAATTAACCAAAATATAAAAATCAACTGCTGAACCAGAGAAAAGAGATAATAATTTAAAGTTAACAACATATTGAGATTTGAATAAGAATAGACAAATATTGTCTGATTTATAAATACACAGCATTCATGGACTTCTATAGGTGAGAAGTGGAAATGATTTTAGAATAAAACAACCAAGAGATATTGTACAAGTTTAAGATAAACATTTGTATAGATTTTATGAAGAAATGGCATTGAATTCTTATAGTGGTAAAGTTTCTCAATCATGAGCATTCATATATTATGAAATTGAAAACAGAGCATCGAATACGTTCAACAAAATATTATTATTATTGGCTTTATTCAATATTATACTCTGGGTACAATATAGAATTCTCAGCACAAAGTGTTTCAGCGAGTTTCCGTTTCTTGTTTCTTGATCTATATTGACGATAAGTGTTGAGCGATCCCCAGTTAGATGTTAGCATTTCAGAAATCAACATCTGAATAATGTTCGTTCTTTTCAATCCATATTGTCAGTAAACAAGTTGTTTCGATTGTACATTTTTGTAACTTGTACTGAGAAAGGTAGTAAACTTTTCGCAAACGCACCCGAATAGATTGTGTAATTAATTAACAAGGAAACAGATAACTTGTTGAAATATCTAGATGATAAGAACAGATAGCCCAGATATTCAAGCTTGAAACCAACGTTTAAATGTTGAGGTTCTGAATGGATATTTAGCAAAGTACCATTTCCAGGATTATCTCAAACTAATGACTTAATATCAAAAATAATTGAAACAGAAGATTGAATTAGGGTGAAAAACATAGAATTCAATCAAATAACTTGAGAAATATTAAAAGTATCAAAAGACAAATTTATAAACAGAATCTTACCTCTGGATCTGGTTCTTCGAAGCCAATAAAGAAAAGTTTTCCTTCTGGACTGACATTTGGGGCTTTGACTACAGGAGACTTCATATGTTTCTGACTATTTTCTACAGGTGAAGGATTTAATGGTGCAGTTGATGAGTTCGATAAGTCGGTAACATTATTAGCAGACATTGAACACTCTTGAGGTTTACCACTGTAGGACTAAAAATAGCACAAACGTTTACAATCATGATAACATTAGAATATTAGTTGTGTATAATAAATTAGATTACTCCAAAATACAACGATAAAGTACAGTTTCGTGTAATGGATTGTAAATTCTGAGAAGTGAAACTGCTTTACTAACACCATTGAAGAGCAAACAATGGAGTAGTATTATAAATTTCTTAGTTAAGACCTCAAAAGTTTATATATCAAAGAAAAATAATTACATTTGCATGACATTTACTACAGTAATACAATCATATTTCAAACAGAGAAGAGATAATCAACATACTTTTGGAAATAAATACTATTTACTATCATGAGTAATGGCGCGATATCCCACATTTTATTTATTTGAACGCATAAACAATGGTATAAGGGGGCACCAAATATATATGCGCCACACAATAACAATCAGGCCAGTATCAGTTATCATTTATTTGTGTGATGGCTGTGACACTGCCCGGGTGCCTATATAATGGATGTGAAGGTAATTGATCTCAAGAGGCTGTCCAAAACTAAAGTCGGCGGATTAAAATTTGAACATGAGACTTAGCAGTTAGAAAATGAATGACAAAAGACTTTTTTGTAGTGTTCATGGAAAATATAATGAAATTTAAATACTAGATCAAGAGGTTACCCGTTTACTTTTACGCAACAATAAAGACTATGTAATGTCAGATACTTCAGCTTATCATAGAATTGTGTAGGAAGATTCTTAATCGATAATAACAGAGACCAGTTGAATATATATATGTGTGAAAACCTCTACTTTAAGTCCAAGGTAAATTAAAGAGTACTCAAAGCCACACCGATATTTCATTAAATAGTTATATCACGACCAGAAAAACTACGAAATGAAAAATAATTAAAACACAGTACAACTTACAGGTTCATTGAAAGCAACCATATTATGACTATCAGCTTTAATAACAACTGGTTCATCTGTATTAATTTGATTATGTTCAACAAAATCATCTACTGTTACTGAATGATTATTATCTGTTGATGAATGAACATTATGTTGTACAATTAAATCACGAACAATAGGTCTATCACTCCATGTAGCACGTGTTGTAGATATATTAGATATGGATGTGGATAATGCTTGTGTATGAGATAATTGACTTATTGTCAGTGGTGTTGATGCTGATTGTTGTGGTTGATATTGTTGGTGTTGCTGTTGAAAACTACTCGCCATTAAAGCAGCTGCTGTTGTCGCAGATGATGAAGCTAACAACACTTGTTGTTGCATAGAAAGACGTTCAAAATCCGAACGTAAATCAGACATATTCCGATTAATTTGATCTAATGTAACGGGATCGACAACAGATGTAACAGATGGGCGATTATTTCCACCACCTATTGAATTTATATCAACTTTATGTCCACGTGAACTGACCACTCCGCGAGATGAAGCGTAAGAAGGAGCTGGAGAATGAGTTCTACTCTCTGATTCACCTAATTCATATCCATATTCTGATGATTTACGACCATTCGATCTATATCTGTTTCTACAAAATAAGTGTTCATAATATGAATTTAACCATAAGATATTTGTAGATCAGGATGAGAATATTAGACGTGTTTTGATCTCTGAGCCGAATGGATTGGTTACGAAGCTTTCACTGAACAATAACATTAGTACGTAATTCCATTCAGCTTAGAGACCATAACACCTTCAATAGAATTAACTGTGAAATTCGTAAAATGAATAAGTAAACAAACTATTATCGTTCAGGTAACTACACAGAAGTTAGAAATTTGCAATGAATGCTGCACAAACACGAAGTTAGACGATTTTAGCATTCAACGTTATTGTTTAGTTCAGAACAGCACGAGTAAATAAAGTTTCATTTTCGTGTAAGAAAGAAAGCTGATTTATGATCTCAAAGAAACTTTATGAAATAACATTTGACCGGTAGTTATTTGACACGTATTTCTTTTTATAGAAATAAAGAATGAAAAGTAAAGAATAGTACTTAATTAAAAGAAAAATTTAGCATGTTGATTTAAATTCAATATGTAATTTATTTCCAAATTTTTACGTCGAAAAGATTTAACCAATAGAGCATCATCAACCAATATAAAGACAATGACTACTTTTCTTTATACATTTTATTATGGACATTCCTACGCAACAATGAAAGAAAGATATATGATATGAGGGACTACCATTCAGGAAAATGGCATAAACAGATAAATTTATGAGGGAACTGTCTTAATATTACATAATTTTAGTGGTGTTTTGTAATTGTTATTCTAAAGTCTATTTATTCATTTCTGACTTACTTTCTATGTTGAACTATTGAATAAAACATTGTTTATTATAATAGTCTTACCATTACTAGTACACCTGCCTTCTTACTGTCAATTTTTACTTTTTATCTATTACATGTGGTTATGCAATTTTTTTCATTGCGGTTACTGATTCACAAAATACTTTGATTAGTTTAATATTTTCATATACCCATATGAATATTCATGTGTATTCGGGCAAAGCCTGATGACGACCTAATTGGAAACACTATTGTTTGCTTATATGCGTTGTTCTGCTCAGACTCAAGTTCTGGTCCACGATTTGGGCGTGGGTTCGAATCCCACCTCCAACACATACTTTATGCTCCTGCGCTGGAAGTGGACAGGACACACATTGAAGAAAGCACCCAAATGTCACAAGACAAGCCCTCACATGGAATCCTGAAGGCCAAAGGAAAAGAGGAAGACTAAAGAATACATTACGCTGAGAAATAGAGATGGATATGAGAAAAATGAACAAGAATTGGATGCAACTAGAAAAAAAGGCCCAGGACAGAGTGGGTTGGAGATTGCTGGTCGGCGGCCTATCCTCCATTAGAAGTAACAGGCGTAAGTAAGTAAGTTGTTCTGATCAGAAGGCGGTTAAAGTAAGTTAAGTAAATTTTTTGAATAAATTGACAGTGTATGCACAAAAATTTAATATAATGTATCAACTCGAATTGGTAATTACATGTATGTCCAGAAACTGTTTAATTTATAAATTCAGTTAACAATTCTAAACCAACATGTCAAGTTGGCGATGTAGTATATCTTTCTAGTTTAAGTGAAACTAAAAATTCTGAATAACAAATGTAAAATTCCATTTTAGAAACTCAACAGTTGGTGATATATCCGGAAATGTTTGCTGAAAATGGGTAAAATAGAGTATTTACAATTGACTGATCATTGAGTAGTGACTGAAGGCATGTATGTTAAGTTCTTAATGTTGATCAAACTCTATCGACCAAGTTGCAATGTGGCTCACTAATCGAGGTAACTCGATATTGCGTGAACAATGTCGAGATGTAAGGTAGTGATAGGAAGAAATCAATGGAAAACCCGGTTTGACCAAAGGTTTGTGCTATTTAGTGTTCGTCAGCAAATTTACCTGTAGTCTTGAGGGAAATGATGCTTTATGCGAGTTATCTGTCGAGGACCTGCAACCACTTAACATCACAACATAGTACGCGAGAAGTTGAGTAACCTCGATTAGTGAGTGTTATGTCTTGAAAATCTGCTGACCAGTATCACGTCCTCGGCCACCAATCACAATACTAATTATAAGTGCGTCCATTATTTACTCTATAGATTAATCTCTTTGACTTAGTCAACTGTACATCTGACCAGCACTATTGATTTTGAGCCGGTAGTCAAACTTCTCTTGGTCCGTTATTCGCAACCTCCTCTCTATAACCAGTCTTAAGTCTAGAAGTGGCAATCAGCCCCTACTATACTTTTCGAAACATGTGGTTTATACACAGACATACTGGACGGAATCACATCATAAAGTGAGAAATAAAAATTATGCATGAACAAGTCTAATGTGGCTGTAACTGAACGACTAGGGACAAATTAGAAACAGTAAATCCTATCACTAAATTTAAAGGGTTGATCGAAAACTTATATACACATTGCAGTTTAGTTGTATACTAATTATACAACAAAATTATGATTAATAATAGGTCAAAAAATCAGTTTTGACTACTACAATATTCGTCCCGTCATAACAGTAGGTAATATTACAATTCGATCGATAGAGTTTGATAAGCGCTAAGGACTGGACATATAAGGCACTGGTCATTACTCAGTGATCAATCAATTGTGAACACATTTCAGTCCTACAGGAGGTTAGTCGTGGAACGGATGGTTCAGTAGTGAATTCTGTGGTCACGGAGCTAGGTAATATTGGATTGAATTCGATAAAGAACATCAGTTCTTTCAGGATTACAGGTGAACCTCGTTGATGAGTGCCACAAAACACGAAACCTAGGTCAACCAAGGTTTCTTGTCGACTACCACCAACTACCATTTTACAAAATAGCTCACAAAATGCTTGGACTAGCCAGCCACTTGTTGGTAACCAGTGTCATGGTTTATACTGGTCATGTTTACATGTGATCATGCTATGGTAAGGAACGTAAAGTTCCAAAGAACTATATTTGATAAGTTTTCGGTGGTTGAGTGCTTAAAGTACCTGGCTTTTAAATATTAAGTCTTAGGTTTGCATCCCTGTCCAGCTATTTGGAATTAGATGATGAGGTTGTATCAATACCACTATAAGAAGTGATGTGACGAAAAGTCAAACAGGTAAACCAGTACTCGATAAATGAATCATATTATTTTATGTCAGATGTTTGAAGATAATCGTCAGAAAACTTGAGACCTAGGTAACTATCAGGTTAATGGAAGAAACACACGAACTGAGTAAAATAGTCCACTTGAACTATAAATCCGATTACACTTACTTTGAATGGGATTTCGGCAATCTAGATAATGATCGATGAGAGAATCGACCAGAATATGACATTCGATTGATATATGGGTAAGAATGATCATCATATGTTCGGGTGGAGTAATCATCTTCGTCATCATCATCCGTTTCTGAACTTGCTTCATTTGAGCTACATTCACGATAACTACTGCTGAGCATCATTGGATTCGGGACATTATGAGAGCGATGATACCGTTGAGATATATGTTTGTGGGGAAGTGGTCGCTCATCAACAGGACTTTGTGAAGGAATATCATAAGGATAATTTTTATGGTTGGTATGGCGATGTCTAAAAGAAGGAGACTGAACACCATGAAATGAATCAGCTAAAACAAAACCATGTTCATTATAATCACTAGCTGATGATGCCAGAAATCCTGGATACGTTTTATCTGCATAACCTCGCTGTCTCGACCCTTTATGAGTTTGAGAATATTGAGGAGGAGCATAGTGATAATTAACTTCTGTAAAGAACTCAGGTTGAGGAGTAGACTCTCTTTCACTAAATCTAGACTTTGGTCTTTTAGAATCACGTTTATGCTGATGAGGTAATGTTTGATAAGGTTTGGATGGATCTAAAGTGATCATGTGAGGATAAGAAACATTAGATGTAGCATAGTTTGATTCTCCACTATCCGATCGCCGATTTGTTACAGATGCATTTTGGTCGAATTCCTGATAAGGTGGATCACAATGATTGTTTATATGAGCAGTAGTAGGCTCGACAGTCAGATCAGAATGATTATTCGACTGAGTTCTATCGTGATATATCTGTGGAGATTTAGAACAAGGAGGGATTGATGTTTTTGAATCATTTGCGAATATGTTAGTGGTATTGTCAACCAGTCCAATCGTATCACTGGTTTTCATAAATACAGTAGAATCTTGTGAAGGCTATAACAAGTAAATGGAATGACGGGAAATAATGAAATTTCACACGGACTACTTAAACATCTTTACAATATGCAGATGGCAATTTTCAAAAAATTACTAATACAGTATGCAAATTTAACCGATATGAAATAGTAATGTAGTGAACGAGAACACAAGTGGGGACAGTCGAATGTAATTGGACACAAAATTATAGAATCTCTTAGTACAGTCTGAGAACCATACAGTAAAAATTTCATTTGCAAAATATCAGTCGATTTTCTCAGACTTTATTGTTCCTTCGTTTTCACATTAATCATTCTCTGTTCTCGTTCTTCGATCTTCTTAATCTTCTGTCGCCAGGTATTTCACTTACAATTAATGATACATACTACTCATATCATTTCTATTCATACGAGATGATAATATTCTTTGGGTTTTATAATGAAAAGACGAGTATATTCATTAAATTCGAATGTAGAAATTAGTGAACCGGTATATAAATATACATATAATGAATATGTATATGTTAGATACTCATTTTGTGATATTTCTGTATTCTGCAATTTGTAAGATATACTGGCTATAGTTACACCTTTTACCATTCATAAGTTCAAGTTATATAATGATAAACTTGTAATTCAGTTATGTAAGGGAAAAATCGTGGTTATGTAAATTTCGAAATCTATTATTTATGATAATAACTACAATTATATTAAACGAACAGCATAAGAGACGAAAATCTTCCGATAATCAGTTGACCACGGTAGTTTGAAGAATAAGTTAAATAAACTTTGCAGTGACATGAAGGGGGGTCAACGTATTCACTTAAGAGTGAAATGAAGAGTTTTCTAATCAATTTGTTTGGATCAAGAAAAGATGCACATCAATATGTTTACATCTGACATGCATGACAACTAATATTTGACATTTGTACAGAGTGTAGAGACTAGACATATAAATTATATAATAAAACAGTTAATACAAATAAAAATGTAAACCGACTACTGTTTTTATTAGATATTATATTACATGAAATTCGTATAGTGCTACAGGAAGATGAAGTTTACCAAAATTACGTCCGTGATTCACTAAAACTCCAACTAAATCACTACGGGGGCTGTGAAAATTGTTTAATGCTATTGAGATCACGAACGAACCTATGTTAGGCAACCAACAAAAACTTGAAAGCACATTTTGTTTAAGTATCGAAATCCTGTAAAGTGTACAACTATGAGCGCAAAACCACTGTATCGGAATCCAACAATGTGGGGAGATCCATTATGAATACAGTGATCTTGAGTGCTGTTAGAGGGTGGTTATCACTCCCCGATTGCCCACACCGTGAAACGGTTATTCTGAAAGTACATGAAAAGGAATTCGGATTAGAGGTGGTTTTAGTGACCTGAGAGCCTGACCGCAGTGCCCAAGGGACAACTGCTTGAGGTCGATCATACACGATATTTTTGTGAGTAATTTTTGTGCTAGCTCCGTACTTGTTGGGACATTACCGCCAGAGACGGATATGCTTGGGATAAGGCAGCATCGCTGTTATGCTGGTTGTTGGAAGGAAACACCTTACTGCTGTCACATCTCCGTACAGTCATCAGTACGACTTCGCCCTCGGACCTTGTGTTTACTGCTTTTAGTCTTACCACTCTTCAAACGACCTGTCTGGCATGGTAGGACCTTGAGGCACGATTGTTCCAGCCAGTATAGGTCGATTGGTTCATCACGCTAGGCAAGCCCGACCACCACGTCAAGGTAGCAGCAACGGTCATTAAGAGTAGAAGATACTCGTAAGCTACTAGTATTTGACCACAGATGCCTTAGAAATATTGCTGGCGTTTGCTGGGATCATCGGGTAAGTAACAGTGAGGTCAGACGCAAGGTCTTAGAGAATGATAATAAATCAGTTGATGAGGTTGCAACTCTCCACCGACTGAGATGGTTGGGCCACATGTTACGTATGCCTGAACGCCGATTACGACGACGCGCAATGCTGACAAGAGTTGGAGATGGTTGGAAGAAAGTTAGGGTCGGCAAAACCAAAAACATGGCATCAGTGCTTGAAGTCACCAGCCTCTGGACTGAGCCATGTTGGTAGGTGCAGACTACTTGGTTGCGGTCCGTGTGACTATCATAGCAAATGGTTGGAGACTGTAATTGAAATGGCTCAGAATAGATCGCAGTGACGTCGGTGTATACACTTTCTGTCTTCCTTTAAACTATGAAATTAAAAATGCTTTAAATCTTTCTTTCTTCGAACTAATTCTTTCTTCCTGTACTATATCCTTATACAAAACCTTGCTTTTAAACATTACCACCATTGAATTAACTACTTTTATGAATTCGGTGTTCATTTTGTTGTGCTAATGATGTGTGCATATATGTGCCTGGTCCTACGTTGTAGCTGACTGACTGAGTCCAACGGTATACACATCTTAATTCAAGCGATTTGTGATATTAGACAAATATCCGCCATTGTCCTATGTGGACGGGAGAGGTCGTGGTTAGGCATTTCTGGACGATATCGAAACAGCTACCCAGCGCTTCCAGATTTTTAATGGAAGTCTAAAAAGTACGTTTGTGATGTGAAAAGATCACATTATTGATTTTTACAATTGCATAATATCATCAACATATTATTATTATAAGATAAGAAGAGTAAAAAAACAACATATGAATCCAACTATTGACCTCACTAATATTTGGCATTGTGGATGAAGAATTCATTGAGAAATCTTCATCTAAGTCTGTAGCATGTTCAACATTAGAACCAGATACTGTCATTTCATCTTTATCCGTTGTGAAATGAGCACCTTCTGAATCGATGCAACTAAAATTGTATTTTTCTGATTCTTTTAATTTGATAGGCAAAGAACTAGATGAATTTTCATTCTCCGATACTGTACCACCATTCGATAATTGAGACTGTCCACTTGAAATACTTTGACGCTGATGGAACTATTAGATTGATAATACAAAATAAATGAGATTAACAACACTGAATAATAACAATTGTAAAATAAATTACGATTAAGAATATGGAAAATAAAAAAACAGAAAATTTGTAATATCCCATTCTACCTAATGTTCAAGTTATTTGAAATTATGAAGTCGGACCTTGGTAATGACACTTACATGGAAAATACTTGCATAGTTCATTAAAATAGGTTTAAAAAAATATATTAGGGATTTTCAAATAATTAATGGTAAAAAAGGAATTAATATTGCCACTATAAATAATGGTTTCGATTTCGTATCGTTGACGAAATCGTACGTTATCATTGTAAAAGATGCTCTAGTACGACCAAGGGTGGGGAGAGTCAGGTCTTCCTCTAGAAATCCTCACACATGGCCACGCATATACAGACACTGTCAAGGAAGTCCTATTCACTGCCTTCCCGTGGCAGGGGTGTAATTTACGGAATTTAGAGGAACAAAAGTGAATGTCCGGAACTTTAACCGTGTCAGTGGATATGGAGGATCTATCTAGGAGAGTTGGCAAACCCTAATTCCAAACCAATGAGTACATGAACTGCAGAGCCGTGAGGGAATAAATGGAGTATGGAGTTATTGTTGGTCACTGGCTATTATGGAACTGCATCTCCTGACGTTGCCCCACTGTCTTGTGGATTAGACCTCTAGGTTAAAGGCTCGGGGAGTGGTCGCTTAAGAAAGCCACCTGTTTTGGTTTGAGCGTCCGGACAGTATTACAGCCCTCACACAAATTCAATGAAGAGGAAGGTTGATTATGAATACAGTGGTCTTGAGTGCTGTTAGAGGTATGAGGGCGGTTTTCACTTCCCGGTTGCCCACACCGTGGAAGGGTTGTTCTGGAGGTACCTGAAAAGGAATTTGGATTAAAGGTGGTCTTAGTGACCTGAGAGCGTGACCGCAGTGCCCAAGGGACAACTGCTTGAGGTCGGTCACACGCGACCTTTTTATGGGTAATTTTTGTGTTAGCTCCGTACTTATTGGGACCTTACCGCCGGAGACGGATATCCGTGGGATAAGGCGAGGTGTGCATTTTTAGGGCCGACCTTTTCTAACCCCACCCCTCCTTGTGGGAAGGCAGCATCGCTGTCATGCTGGTTGTCTGAAGGAAACACCTTACTGCTGTCACACCTCTGTACAGTCATCAGTACGACTTCGCCTTCGGACCTTGGGTTTGTTGCTTTTAGTCTTACCGCTCTTCAACCGACCTGTCTGAGATGGTAGGACCTTGAGGAACGGTTGTTCCAGCCAGTTTAGCTCGGTTGGGTCATCACGATAGGCAAGCCCGACCACCACGTCAAGGTAGCAACAACGGTCGGGACACAAATTCAATGACTCGAACAAAACAGATGTTGTGCATACCCAGCATTTAACTGATCTTCAAACGATATCAATTAGTTTTGAAAAATCAGGTTGAAACAAGTAACCTTCCTCAAAAAATCCTTATATTCATAGTATTTCAAATTTCATGTTCAGTAGTAATCAACAACACAGTGGATATCATATGTTCTTACGTAAGTGCACAGATTCACACTACTTCTTTGATAAATTAACACAGGTGAAAAAGAATATTCAGTAGTAAGATTATTGACAAACATAAACGATTGCTCTAGGCACTTTTGACAAACTTTTTGAGGTGAATAAACACTTAGATTTCAACAAATAATTAGAGAAAATCTGGGACAGATAGGTTTACGAAAAGACTAGGTATTTGAATGAGTAGAATATCAGATTGAGAATTGAAAGTTCCATTGTTTGAGTGATTGGTAACTAAAAAAAATAAGCAAAATGTCAAACAATGATCCTTTTCGTAAAATAAATAGTTTCACTATAATTGCACTTTACAAGACAGTGATTGGAGGTATTTTCTGATAAAATAAGGCTTACAGAAAGCATTGCTAAAATCAATATCAGCGTAACGTCGTTTTTATACCACTCTTAAGGCGAACTAAAAATCCAGCAAAGATCAACCAATAGATTGATAAATTTATCATAAATATATCTCAGCCCTACAGGAAGTCAGTCATGACCTGGATGGCTTAGTGTCGCTGGTTAAATCAGGATCGAACCTACCAGAGAGCGTCGATTCCCTCAGTATTAAAGGTACACCATGTTGACGAGAGCTACATAGCACGGAACATAGATCAAGAAAAGGTTCCTGTCGACTACCTCCAACCATTACCTTACAATATGAATATTTACCTGTTTTTGAAGAAGTTTAACAAATGCTGCATTATTTCTTTCAGCAGCAGCTTTGGTGCTAGCTAGACGTTCACGTTGTCTGGATACTTCAATAGCTCGTCTTCGTTGGTCTAATGATAGTCTTAAAGCTGCTGCACGTCCAATCATTGTAGCCTCTTGATCAGATTTAGTACTACTAGATGAAATGATATTGTCTTCAGTGTTAACAGCATCATTTATTTTATGTGCATGAGAACGTGCTGCCCCAGAATCTTTCCAAGTCTTCGTTCCTAGAGGTAAACTAAGAGTAATCATAATAATGATAACACGATGAATATGCAACTAGACTAATTAGAACAACGAGAATTATACATTAATTAAACCATAGATGACTACATTATTTTAAAAAAGTCTGTTATTTAACAAATAAAACAAGTTCTCAGCAATTAAAAATTAAAAGACAGTATGCTTAACGCTTTAGCGTGAAACAGATTAAATGCTGGTAGAACTGGATCCAACATGTGTGCTTCTTCCTATTTGGGACTCGTTGGATGGATGTATCAGCATACCAAAGTTAATGCTTATTACAACACCAGAACAAAGTAATGTGTTTTTCAAAAGCTATTGTGTTATCCCCGTACCTACTTAGTTTTGATAGCTATTTGTGCAATGGGTATGAGATTCAATTCAATATGAAATGGTTTGGATCATCCCTTTGTTTATACTTTAACTGGAATTAAATTAAAAATGATGTCCGATGAACATTTAGGTGGAGATAATTGAATAACGCAATAGGGATTTGAATTGGAAGTTATTTGGTTTGAAACGCAGAGTGAACTTAAACTCTGGGGCGCAGGTACGTCCAGCCGACGAGTCTCATATAGGACGAAACGCGCGTCCTGAATTCCACTACTAGCAATATTCCATGTATCCTATCCAAACTTAAGAAATAAAAGCAATACCGAAGCAATTCGCATCGGATACACACACCAATAAAAAAATTGACTGAAATCCAGTCAAAATATCAACAACAGGATAAACCCAATCACTAGAAATTAAATTATCCCTAACGTTTGATTTGACAGATTTTAGTAACGTTGATCATATTGTCTGGTAACAATTATTTATAAGCGGAAAATATAACGAGTGAAGTCCCGTTTTTTCGCTGAACAATTCAGTGTTCACAGAGAGTGCAACAATTAATTTGATTGTATAAATATTAGTAGTTCGACTCTACATCATGTTTCTGTGTTCATTGCAAAGCAAAAAATCACTTAAATTCTTTCATGTGATTAGTTCTGCTAATTAAATAAACTTTGTAAAGCAAGAACAAGAGACATTGCAGGTTAGAGTAGATTTATTCCATTCCATATGATCTAAATGTTACATTAATTTGTACAAACAAATAAGGTGCATTACAAATGTAATTTCATGAGTTGTAATATACATTAAGTCCATTAGTCCACAAGTGAAGAATACCTATAATTACTTTCTATATTCATACAAGCTAAATTTATATATTACCACATTAAACAAAAGAAAAACCATGACGTAACTACTTGGATGAATAAATTGATGAGGGGGGTGACGGTTAAATATTTTGGTCACTAAGTCTAAAATAATAAAACTAATTATTATGAAAACTAACAATTGGAAATAAAAACTTGACTAAAATGAACAATCAAGGAGTTATTTTGATGAAACAAATGTTGGTAGGAACGATCAAGAATATTTGTAAAGGTTATAGATCGAACCAAAAATATTTTAGTTATTTTTAAAAAAAATGATTGGAAAATAGGACCAAATCGACCATTATGTGAGTGATAAGTGGATTGTAGATCAGGATTGAGACGCCATTCATTTTGGAGGCAGTGAGCTGTTGAATAATGTCATTTATTGATTTTAAATATACGTCGATAATAATTCACGATAGGGATTTTTCGAAGTATTTCCACTTCGCTGCCGAGTGAACCATCGGAAAAAATTTCTGACAATAATTCATTTATACGAGGTTGGATAAAAACTACTGAAACTCAAAACTAGTCCCATCCAAGTATTGTGGTAAATAAAATGCGAAACAAACCGATTTTTATTTACCACGCAAAGGTTTATACACCTGTGTTCGAGGAACCGTTTTTGTATGAGAGCTAACGATACTATGAAGCTTTTCAAAGGGAAATATATGGAGCGAGGTTCAGAACCTACAACCTAATGCTTGAGAATACATGACTAACTAATATATCACTACTTCAATTGTACACTGTGTAGCCTAATTCAAGAAACTATAACATTTCACTTTAAAATCAATCATCTATACCCATTGAATACACACTTAACCTAACGTATATTGGCGCGTTCAATATTCTATAGATTTGAAAATTATACACTGAAATAATTTTCAGTGTTCAATTGAAATAATCGATTACTCATTTGACATTTTTACACTTCAGTGAATATTTTGCATTAGTTTTGGGAAAACGTATGAAAAACAATATGAATAGATTATTGTTAAGAAAAAAATCAAAGAATTAATGAACTGTATTGAATGTGATATGATAAAAATCATTAGTTTAACTGATTCTTTAACTATTCACAACAAATAGCTTTATTAATTTATGGTTTGAACAGTAACCTAGATCAAGGGTTGAAGATGTTTAGTGATTGGTTCATAGTAAAACGATGAATATGATGAAGAGACTGTAATTATGTTATCCATGTTAAGTCAGTGGCATATATTGATACACAGTGCTGGACAACACTGTACATTCTGGTTTCATTCTTTTTTACTAACTATAGTTTATATTTCAAACTTTTACTATCCCTTATCACTTCATTGTTTTGTTTTTATATTTTATTCTATTTTCTTCTTCCCATTGATATAGGATATGGCAATTAGGTTAGCTGTATAATTTGTGCCAAGTCATACATACATCCATCTTACAATTAATAACTGATTATAAAATCCAAAAGTTCATATGTCAATGATTTCAATCTTGCTACATAATAGATTTTTATAATAACATCAAATAATAAGTGAAGTCCTTCAAGGTGATTAACAAACAATCAAACTCGAACCTTTTGAAATTCGCTGAAGCGTTAGCAATCAAACGTTTAAAACCAGATCTATGTATACAAAAAGAGACAGTAATAAATCTTTCTTTACCCTGGTAACAATAACCGCCACCCTTTCTATTCATTGGCTCCTATTTATTTATTTATTGCGTCATTATTGCAACTCTTTCTGCAGTTCAAATTACATCATATATAAATGATTGATTTCAATTCATATATACTTTATTACCATTAATCTATTTTCATGAGTTCTAATCATTATTTCAATGTTCCGGAACTTTCCCTATCAAACTCTATTTATTCGAGACAAAATTTTATGACCTCATTACCTCTATCGGAATCTTCGCAACACCATGATACATTTATTCATCTTTCATCACCCTTTTATGTATAGTTATGTCAATATCTGTATAAAAGTTGATTTTCAAATATTTTAGATCGTAAGCAGATGATGAGAACCTAACGAAATAAAATGAATCCATTTACTATTCTGCACCAATCTTCGTTCTTGCTCTATTTAAGATAATAAAGGGAACTATGTGTATGAAATTAGTGAACATTTGGATAACTTTTTATTCCCTGATAAAATCTAATTATCATATCAGCATAGTGATTAAACTACCAACAAAGATATCAGATTAAAAATAATAATAATCTCAAGATCATAGTTTTATAAGTAGAGATCAGTCAAACTTAAAAATCATTAATAATAATGGTAACTAGTTTATTGATTTAGTTGAAAACGTGTTTATACTAACTTATTTATAAGAATTTGTCATTTTTTGAAAGAAGAAAACAAAAACCCAGTTAAGTTATATCTTATTTATTTTAATACAATTGATGAATGATTTCAATAATCCGTTTTCTGTATTCATATTAAATTTATATTGTGAATATCTTTAAAATAAATTAATAAAACTATTCAGATAGTTACTGTCATGTTTTAGGGATCACATAAAATAAACAAAGTTACCTATTATATGGTTATTGATTATTTTTTTCTTGTAATCGGAAAAAAGAGTAATAATTGCCAAGAGAATTTTTTTATATTTTCAAGTGTTAACGATTTCGTAGAAGAAATTAAAAAAAGGACACATTTGTAAATACACAACCTATAACTTTGCTTCTTTATGTTTTTTTATTTATTTATTTATTATAAATGATGACTGATGTGAAATTTTACTCAAAGTTCTATAACATATTTCTCTCCAAACCATATGATCTAATCAAGAAAAGAAATGGTTCAGAAAAAAAAATACCAAGTAGAACATGTGATCTGTATATGTATGTACACGCATGAGAAAGAGAGAATGTGTGCTCATTTTATTTTGGTTTTTTTCTCCTGAATAATAATAGACACAGAATAGTAAAAAGAGAATACTTTTTATTGATTAATATACCTAATTAGTATACATGTCCACGTGTTGTTATTATGATGATTACTGGAATGTTCATAGTAAAATTTCAGTAGAGTACCTGATTAAAAACACTTTTGTGGATATTATAGTAATTTAATAGTTGAATTCATGAGTCAATTGAAGCTAGACCGTCATGGGAAACCTGGAAGCACTAGATGGCCGTTTCATCCTAGTATGGGATTCCTTAGTAGTGTGCACCCAGGATCCCCTACGTGGGACATCGTTAAACGTGAAGTTTTAAAGACTTATTTGACAACTCATCATTTTTATCTAGTAGTCTTGGCTGGATACTAACATTGATCTTCCCGTAGTTCAGACAGACGTAATAAATGGTGGTATGGCCGAGTAACTCCAATCTACCCATATTAGCTATTTTAAAACGTTATGTTTCACACCATTAATGTCATGGAAGACGGTATATTGCGCAGTGTATACGCTTTTGATAAGCAAACATACGTTTAATTAACGTAATGTGTAGAGCTTATAGAACGTACTTGCATCAATGTCATGATTTAATTAGACTCTACCCAACCAGGACTGGACTGACTGGACGTAAAATAACTGAAGTGGTCAATGCATGTAACTATATCATTTATAGGTATTATTACAAGCCAATTATAAAGTAGGATTTTACTTTTGAAAGATACAGAATGCATAAAGTGCAGTTATTCAAAATGATGTAGACTGAGCTTCATTACATTTAAAGCAATTATCCAAAGCGAAAAATCGACTAGTACATAGGTCTATGCCATGAAATGTCCAAGTTTATATTTTATCATTCAATTCGGATAATCTACACAGCTGAAAAAACTAACCCAAAAAGTAGGTATAATTAAAGGTACTGAATAAAAATTAATCTTACTCATCATGGATTTTTGAAATTTGATCTACATCTGCAGCCGTCACAGTGGACATTGAACGTTTACGCTTTTCAAACTCTGATCGTAATGAAGGCAGAGTAACTTGTGAAAGATTAACATTAGTGACAGAATTCACTCGAGGTGACTTTGTTCCAACTAGATCAAAAAACACATGAAAAAACACAAAAATAACATATTACACTAACGAATAAGATGAACAATCTTCAAGATTAAGTGAGTTAGTTTTCGTGGGAAATCAATAGATTTTTACAAATAGTTTGTTGAGGATGTTAGATCACTAGGGATCACTCGGTAAACTTATTTTTGTGATTTAATTATGGAAATAAGAATTTGTTTTCGCGCCAAAAAGTACCCGTTATTTTCTTCAGTTTTTATTTCCTACCTGGATCTTAAACATCATTAGTTCGTTTCTTCTTTTAGTGAGCTATTGGGTGACGCTTATCAACGACATTTTCGTATTGTATATGTTACTCATGAGTTGAATGTTTGTTATTTGTTCTTCCGATTTGCTTATGGAATATTTTCCCTGCTGATACTGGTTTTCTTCCTCTAGTTAACTAGGCTAGGACGCAGAGGAACACCTAAGCTTCATCCTGTTATTGTGTTGCTAGCTTAAATTCCGATACCAAGGTGATATCATGAATGTAATATCTTTAAAGGTTACTAGATATATGAGATGTAAAGTAAATTAGAGTAAGACAGTTACACAGGCATCAATTAGAAAACATAGGAAATATAGACTTGTTCAACAATAAATTTCCGTAGATGACTGCCTGTAATTTAATAAACAAAATGTTTTTAGCTCAGAAAGCAGTAATAGAATTGACTAGTTATCTGATTAGTCCTACTAAGGAATTAGGTTAACAAACTGTGGACAGTATCAAAGATAAACTTATCATATGATGGCTAATGACACGTCTGTCTGGCTGTCAATTTGAAGTAGATATTAGAATAAACACTTAATAAATACATTGTCAAACTATGTCGACCACTAAAAGCATACACAATGACCACCAAATTCACAACAACGGAAAGACTAATGAAATATAAGACAATGATATGAACTCATAATAAGATATTAAGGAGGAAGAATATATTTGTAAATAATAGTGAATCTAACTGACAGACTTTTAAATTAACATGAACTATCACTACTTAAAAAGGTCTCGATTTCAGACCACGACTGTTAGCTTCTGAAATTATTATTATTGATAGAGCCTGATTTAAACAATGTATCGAATGATCAAGCAAACGTAGTGAGGTGTAAAATTTCAGCTGCATTATTAAGACAAAAACCGAATGCCACTAATCTATCTAAAGAAGAAATGTATGCTCCAAAACAGTTAATTAAAGACAGGAAAGTTGTTATTATGAGGGCACACAAGGGAAACACCACTGTCATTATAAATAATTTTCTTTCATAAAAGAAAAGTCAACGAGTATCTCCACAGTGCGCCTTACGAAAAAATATTGAATAACATATGTAGTTTTTATAGAATATTCGATAATTTTGATGTTTGATTATATTTCCTTGAAAAGGCTTGGACCAGATTGCTAGGTGAAACGTTGGGTTTACCTCAAATCCATTTGCTGAGATTTTACAAATACTCTTTATTGTTTCACATCAACTCGGATCCCAGATACTGTGAAACTCTTTGATCAAATTTAGACGAAAGTTCTTATATCATAGTAAGATAGACTTAGTTTTAAATACAAATTTACTAGCATCATCACGATGATGTCTACTACTCAATACCGAGTTTTTACGACAGAATTCGAAAGGCTAACACTAACTTACATGGTTTGATGTTGCAACAGAGTTACACATCGTAGGGAATCGATTACTAGGCAACGATATAGTTTATTCAATTTTCATACCTGTTAATTGTTATTAATAACGATGAATGCATTATTGCTATTTCAGATACACGAACTCACAGTTACAGACATAAAGCTGATGTACGAACATCACTTGTGGATCGATTTAGCCAAGCAGGTGAATGCATGTTTGTGTATACAAATTCTTTGATTTTAGTTTAGAGGTAACATGACTGCCAAAATCTTTTAACTAATATTGGCAGAAAACGACTAAAGTAAGTTTGGACCTTTTTAAGGACATAAATCTATACTTTGTATCTTTAACTTTTGAAGCAAGAGTAACTGGAATGCTAGCTGAGACAATAGCAACTCCAAGTATTATCAATTATGTAAATAATAATTTCATGTAATTACAATCGAGAGGTCACTTACGTTCAGTTACTAAGGGAAAAACAAGTGTGATAACCAAATAATCAGAACAACTAAATAATTAGATCTCGTTAGGCTAGTCAAATGCATAAAGATAAACACATGTAGATTCCAGTTTGAATATATGAGATTATGACTGTTGATTGTAAGCGGGACGATAAATTAAAAAGACTGAAACAAATGGTAGGACACACACTTACGACGCTTTAATGGATTATTTGGTTGTGACAGACTGCCAATCGATGGCAGTTTACTTGAAAGACAAGGAGTTGGGCGCTAAAATAAATAGAAATGAGAAATAACAGAACATAAATTTGTGGAAATGAGGGAGTATAAGCCTACCAAGCCAAAAGTTCATAACCAACTTCTACAGTGACAAAAACACGAGCTATATGCGCTAAGTATTAGATGTCTCTACACTTTTTATCTTAGCGAATTCTATTTAGTACTTAAAAGTGAAAATGTTAAGGGATCAACCCGTTTCATTCGGAACACGCTAATATTTTTAAATGAGGGATAAAATACATTTTGTTAACATGCATTGATTTTTATCATTGTTGCTTTTATACTCACAGCTCTGTTGTTCTTAGTTAACGAAACGAAGTATAAGGAAATAAAACACAAAGAGGAGATAAGTGGTGTCATTAAAATGGAGTTTAACAAGGATTAGGTTTAGTACTACCGGGAAAGACAAGAAGACAAGTGACGAAAGAGTAGAGCACTTCAACAGGACCACAATACTCGTCTAACCACTATTAATCTGTTGTCAGTGTGGGGTTGTGAAGACTGTTAACTATCATTGAAATCACGGATCAATCTAGCTTGAAGCACCACTGAAAACCTATAAACGGTTAGATGCCGACCCAATAGTCTAGAAGTTGTGTGAGAATTAGGTTAGACTTCGTAAACCAATGAATATGATGCCTTAATATATAATTTAGTTATTTATGTCATAGTTAAATATGCAGTTAGCTCAATTTGAACTCTGTTTCAGGATTGATGGTAACAAAGAGAAAATGCATGATAATCACTATATGTAGGAAGTATGCTAGTTTTCTAATGGGAAATGAGATATCGTAATAAGAAAAGTAAACCACGTAAGACAGTGATAATACTTCTGGATTTTCATTCCATCACGTTTGTGCGGACCACAGTCATTTTGAGCAAAGAACATAAGAAAAGGTGTTTTACACGAATCACCTCTGCTTAGCTAAGATTAAGAACAAACTTTAGTACACTGGTTTACAAGACGCAGATCAATAACAAGTGAAAATGGAAGAGATTCTGAAAATTTTCAGAAAATTATAAAACATTGCTTCTTATAATGAATAGATTATGGTATATCATGTATTGTAAAATGTAGGCGAACTGTCGTTAGAATTGATTACCTCAAGTGGTGTTCATCAGGGCTGTCCACTCTCTCCATTCTTGTTCAACTTTGTGGTCGACGTACTTTTAGAGATAACACTCTCCTCATCTAAATTTCCAGGGGTTGAACTTCTACTGGAAGATTCACTTGTTGACATAGAATATGCTGATGACATAGTTCTATTTGGTGAAGACACTGACAAAATGCAGAGGCTTCTGACCACTCTAAGCAACAATGCAAGCATGTTCGGGATGCGATTCTCACCCTCGAAATGCAAAATGTTGCTTCAGGATTGGGTTGCATTGACACCCGAACTAATGATAGGGAGTGAAGTAGTTGAGCGTGTCGACCGATTCACTTATCTGGGAAGTCTCATCAGCCCTTGTGGTCTGGTGTGTGACGAAATCTCAGCACGGATACAGAAGGCTCGACTAGCTTTTACCAACTTGCGTCATTTATGGCGTTTGCAATGGCGCAGATGCATCCACTCTTTGTGTTCTCCCAAATTCTAGTTTCCTAAATTCTCATTGTCTCTTCTTTTTCTCTTCCCAAATTTATTTGATTGTATTGTACTTCTTGAATAATATCTTAAAACCCTAATCTTTCCGATTACTGCTTATACTCTTATTACCTCTACCACTACGTGATTTGAATCGGCCACTGCATCTCTGTGCTAATGTGGTGTGGCAACTCGAACTGATGTACGTACGTACGAAGTTCTACGTTGTTACTGATGACTGACACACACAATATGTGTTTGTTTTACAACCTCTACTGCTTTTGTTTCACTCAGACTTCTTGCCGAAAAATCTGGATTACTCGACTGATCATTCAGGTGTAAATTGTAATCATATTCTATTTATTATGAATAATTATAAATGAGAAAACGTGGAAAAGTTGAATTTTCAGTATGAGGCTTGGAACTAATAGATACTGATGACTTCTTGCTTGGTCAAACCTGTGTAAAGAACAGTAATTTCTCCGGAATAAGATATGTGAATCACTGATATACGTACGTACGAAGTTATACGTTGTTACTGACTGATTAAACTAGTCACACTATCTCAGCAATCAACAACTGATCAATGAAGATGGGACATGTAAAAACAGACTAAATGGAGATATGTCAATATATTATCTTAATGTGATTAAAAAAGAGAATATGATCTACATCAAAACAAAGCAGTATTATTTCACGAATTAGGTTATCAGTCATATTGTACATATCACATGCCAAAATAGAAATAGTTCAGAAATTGTGATCTCAACAGACAAAAAAATAAGGAAATAAAAGCACTCACCTTATTAAATGTGACATATAGGGAGCTACGCTTAAATGATTGGATATCATCGTCAACAATAGCATTAGTAGTGGTGTCAGATATTGTAGTTATTTCTTTCGTTGCAGTAGATTGATTGACAGGGTTACTATCAACGTCTAATTTAGAATATTTCTTATTTAGATAATAATGACCATTCGTTGAAGTGTTTATTTGCTGTTGTTGTTGTTGTTGTAATAATTTATCCTCATTGTTAATAACAGTTTTACATGGTGTGGAATGACTACGATCGAATGCAACACGAGCAATATCAGTTAATAAATCATTGGTTCCATCATTGGTTACATTGTAGACATTTTTAATAGTATTATTACTAGAAATCAAAGAATTGTCAACATCATTATTAGATTTTAATTTATCAAAATCAGTGGAATGTGTATCTACATCAGATTTCATATTACTAGTAGTAGTAGCAGCAGCAGCAGTGGTAATGCTATTATCATCAATCATAGTTTCTGTATGACTCACTAAACTAATAGGTGAGCTAACTAATTGATCTACAGTAGATTGATTTACAACAGGAATAGGTTGATTGCTTGGATGGGCTGGTATTGCAGGTTTAGCAACAGTGCCAGATGCACGAACTAAATTGCGTAAAACTCCTAAAAAATCAAAATAGAAAGAAACACGTGGAAAGAAAACATCTAATTAAAAAGAAAGTAAATAAAATAATGGGTAGTATAATATGAATTATTTAAAATTCCTTGATTACCAAAAACTGATAGACAAGAAATGTTTGATTTAGTTATACGCAATCTAGAACTAGGTATACATGCGGATCAGATGAAGTTGCTACATCGTATTAGCACAGCGAATTGCAGTTTTAGTAGTAGCAGTAGTGGTAAGTGTATCAACGCCAGTGGAAAAGACTGAGTACAGACAATCTGATTCGAGATAAAAGGATAAATTACTAGAATACAAAAATATAACATAGTTTTAAAACTCAACATGAAAAGGAAAATATAGTGTATTTGCGCAATTATGAGAGATTCGGGACATATCAGTTTAGAAAGTTTTAAAAAGATTTAATTTAGTCCTACATACAAATATACTTACATTGATTGTAAATGATGAGAAACGGAATAAGAACACTGGAATTGATTTATAGATCGCTATCATAATTTATGGTGATGATAAAAGAAAGCATGAAACATACATGTTTCGTAAAATGAAAAATGTCGAAAATTTATATCACTGAAGAATCACAACTGTATAATAATTTGAACCAACATTTTAAGGAGACAAATAACTGTTCAATAAGTTTTATTTCATAACTTACAATGTTCTATTTTATGGACAAAAGCTTTGAACTTTATTTACTAAACTGAACACATTTTACACTGAATTAATGAGTACAATTTGTAAGAGAATGAAAAAAAAGAATAATTAAACACCTTTGAAGGGGGACCAAATGTTTGGTGGCAACAGTAACTTACGCTGCATTCTTGAATGAAACAAACAGAATAATCGACTGACGATGAAAATGTCATTGAATGAGATTACAATATAATTTAACTTAAAAGCGGAATACTGTTTAGGATCTATAAAATGAAAATACAATTTAATTTCATGGTATGTTTTGTCCATTAAAAAACTCTAATAAAGTAAGAATGATAATAATTCGTTTAATTCATAGATTCTTTTCAGCTGCTTACAATCTGAAAACAATAGTATCAATGCATAGGTTAGACTTGACAGTTTCGATTAAATTGAACATTGAGTAGAAAGTTAACAAAAAATTGTGGTGTCGGTTATTACGTTAAGCCCATATATCTTATTTTAGATTTTGGACGGGCCAATCTATTCATTCTTCTTAAGTCACATTTTGACCTTATTATTTATTCACTTATCAACCGTGATTGTTTTTATGTAAACGTACGTGTGCCCTTCTTATCTCATTCACCACATGTCTGTAGCTTAGTTTTGTGTGACTATAACTATTGATTAACGCTTGGTTAAAAGGGAATTGGTTCATATGCCTTCTCCACTGCGCCTCGTCTCACCCTCTCTTCGCTACGTCTCTCTGATTATCTCTTCCGATCAACGATTGTACAAAATATATGTATTGGAAAATCCATCCTCGTATTTGACTTATTTAATTCCGTTATTCACTAATGCGATCTAAGTCGATAATTATATACGACGATTGATGATATATATATCTCAATAGCGATCAAAAACGATCTCACTGGAGTCAGATCCGGGGTCATTAAAGTAGTGGGCCCGCCGCCGTCGAACTCAACGCAGCAAGCTAAGGAGATGAAGAGACTTCTGCACTCTATACTTTCAACAAGCAAACTCAATTGTACGTGAGCTGCTATAAAATATATTTTTGTTATATCCCGATCAGTAGAAAATTGTATTTCTGACATTCCGTGACTTAATGTAAGCCAATTGTTCAGAGTAAATAAAGAACATGACGTATAGGGACAGTTACAAATGTGTTGAACAGTGCAAACGAAAAGAAGATATGCATCACCCTAAAAACAGGGTTTATTTAAAAGAGGATAAGATTATGGTATCCAAAATTATGTTAATAAGCGTTTTGTGATCTCAATTCACTTATTTATTGGATGAACAAACAAATCTATAAAGTTAACAGGAATATCCAAATTATCGTCTATGAATTCCCTTTTTAAAAACATAAAATTTCAAATATTTGTATTCTGAGGGTATGAATGCCATTGAACAAACCGCAAAATCTTGTTTCCCATCATATTAATTGAAGTAAAAGAAGTTATATGTTGATTTAAAATTGGACATTGACAGTGAAACATACCAGATAACTAGCGTTTTTAAACATTGCACTGAATTTTTCAATAACACTAATTTTAATGAAGACTAATGGTTCATATAAATATTCCAGTATGAAACATAATCTTAAAAATTAACCAAACAAACAATGAAATGACTCTTATAAACAACACATTTAAATACTTTATCCTTATGAGAATACTAATAATTTATAAAGAATAAAAGGAAACTGATAAGACTAATGTATATTTTAATAACCTATCGCTTAACACTAATCCTATCTATATATTAGTGAGCAGTGTACGTACAGCTCTATACCATATATATATATATATAATGAATAGGCTAGTCGATAAATAACTTTATACAAGGTATTTTAATTACAGGAAAGGAAACAATGTACAATGATATTCATGCTTGATATATTTATACTTACAAACTACACAAGAGTAACAGACAAGTATTTATTCTACCTTAATGTATCAATAGCTACGGGAAGAAATATAAATTTATTGCATAATGATGCTATCAATGGAAACTATATACAGATAATACATAAATCAATGATAGTAATATTAATCAAATAATGAAATATTAGCAAATACAAATAAACTAATTTACACACATTTGCATAAAAACAAAAATTCACATATAAAATAACGGAAAAATTGAGAAGAGTATTGATTATTATAGAAAAATAACAAGAGCATGAAATCTATATACACACATGTGGAATATTACCACTGTGGTGTATGCTATTTATGTTGGCGGATATAAGTAATAGGTAGCACCACTTGTAGGCGGAAAGTAATTGTAATAACAGAGGGATTGAAAGAATCATGAAGCATGTGGGTTTTTTTTATATTTTGCGAAAGCACTCTGTAATTTTGCGTTAAACAAAAAATTAGCTATCTTCAACTGAGTTTTCGTTCACTACATTACTATTGTCGTGAATAACATTAGAATACCTGCAATAAAAAGTATAATAACCGAAGACTTGTTAAAGATGAATTATTTACAATAGGTTGATGACTGGGTAGTGACCAACATGATATGTTTGTCTGGTCTTTCAGCATTCATCGAATTCTGTTTATCAAGCTGCTATTCGATCGCTGAAGTGAGTGGTTCGACGTCGCAATGGTTGAAGGTAGTAGATAGGAAAACTTGGACCTGAAGTTCACAAGCAAAATATACATATAATCTCGAAGAAACTGATATTTTCTATGAAATCCGACTCCGCATCACGAACATTCATAGTCCGCAATGTTACCACTACACTATTCGGACAATAACTGACCTTCTGTAAAACTGAGATATTTACAACTGATTACTCACTTGGAAGTAAGTAATGTCACGTTTGTCTAATCCTTTTAGGTTGAACGAATTTTATCGACCAACTACAAAAATAGACCTCATATATTATATGACCAGTTATCAAGTATTGATATTAATTTTTTATCTATTTGAACACAAACCTTGATATAAGGAGGCACCAAATATATACGCGCCACACTTCATTCGATTTGTGTGAGGGCTGAAATTCTATCCGGACACCCAAACCGAATCGAGTGGTTCTCTTAGGCGAATACTGCCCGAGCCTTTGACCTAGAGGTCTAATCCACAAGGTAATGGAGCAACGTTAGGAGATGTAGTCCCATAGTAGCCCTTAACTAACAATAACTTCATACTCCATTTGTTCCCTCGCGATCGTGAAGTCCATTTGCTCCGTTGGTTTAGAATCAGGGTTTTCCAACTCTCCTAGATGGACCCTCCATATCCGCCGACCTGGTTAAAGTGCCGGACATTCACTTTTGTTCCTCTCAATTTCGTAAATAACACCCCTGTCACGAGAACGCAATGAGTAGGAGTACCTCGGCAACAACACCACAAGAACAGTAAACTGGGTATAACTCTTAAAGTAGCACAACTTAAAAGAAATTACAGAATTACAGATTTATTGTCATAGATCGAATGACTTAATTGGAACCAAATTTATAATACTAATGCAATTTTTATAAAACCTTGAGATTTTTGTAATATTTACAATAAAAGTAGAGACTGAATTGAATTAAATCCTTCGAAAGATAAAAAGTTTTTTTTCTAGATCCAAAAGTATCTTCCTGAAATGTATCTGTAATCGACAACAGACTACTATTGTCGCACAAACTATAATTAGGAAGGCAACATATCCTTACATGTCTTTAGTGATATTCGAATAACAAACAACTTGTCTCTGTTTATTGATTGAATAATCAATAAGGAGTGAAGTTTGAAAAACGACATCTTTTAGGCAGAAACTGTGACTACATAAAAACAAACTAGTTTCGAAAGATAGGATTGAAAGCTAACAAAAACTACTTAAAGTTTCATATCATGAACTGACTGGTCAACAAGTTATTAAAAAAATAATGGAAAGCCGTTTTATCTTTGTAAAGGATACCTCAGCAATGAGTACCCACAATTTTGCTAGAGATTGAACCTACACATTCTGACCATTGAACTGGATCAGCCTTCAAACGTATCAATTAATTTATGAAATTACGTAACCATTATTGGTTATCACGTGTTTTATCTCACGCCCGACAAATTCAGGGTCCACTGATTTAAAATTCACATGGAACTTCGGGAATTATCCCTTAAAGTTACTAAATGAACTGGAAGCCGATAATGCAAATATTTAATGGGTAATAATCAAATACTAACTGAAGTTCGAACCGAAAATTCAAACAAGGTTAAATGTATATTGAAGAATATAATAGATCGAAATAAAATAACCTAATGTTATCTTCTCGAAATCTTCTCATATGGTCACATGCATATAAACACTGTCAGGGAAATCCTACTGGTG